TTTGATGGCGTGAGGGACTGTTCGAGCGAATCGGATTTTGTCTGACTTCAAGTGACCAAAAGAGGTGTTTCCAGTTGGAACTGAGTTTCGAGTTATCACGAAAAATGTTCAGAAAGATGTTTTACGCAACATGTCCAAATTTCAGAATTTTCGGAGTTCGTTTACTATTTATTTGGATGGGATTTCGGTCACTGTGTAAACTGCCCAGTTTTTACCCGATTCTTTGGATGTTTGTTTTGATGGGCGGAATGGAGTTGGTGTCGGGATTGAATTGTTGATGCCTCGTGACCAGAATTTAGGCTTGAATGTGTGTTATATGAGGTGATTTGAGGATGAAATGAGGATGGTTCGAGGCTGGAGTGAGATTGATTAGAGTGTCGGATATTGTGAGATGAAATTGGCGAGCTTATGGTTCGATTTAAGGACAAATGGTGTTGGTTTGGTGTGTGGTAGTATGGCTGGATTGTGGTGTTTAATATGCTCGGAAATGTCGAAATTATGCCTATGAACGTGGCTATGTTTGTGGGTCCATAAGTGACCTTGTGTGTTTATTGAACTGTGATTTTGATGGATTGAAATGTGTTTGATTATGTGCACGCATGGGCCAGATTAAATTAATTGTTGAAATTGGCCATGTCGAATGCTGAGTGAGCATGTTTTACGTGTTAATTGATGCGTGCACGGGCCACGTATGATGGGCCACTTGGGAGTGGTATATGTGTGTCGAGCATGCGCATGAGTAAGAAAGAAATGTGGTGTGGCATGTGATTGTGGAATTTATGTGAAGGTGTGGAAGTGCGAGTATTGGGATCGGGCCGAGTATCATAAACTCGGGAAGCGATCACGTAGGTCTGTTGCATTTGGCACAGGCTGAGGCTTGAAAAAGCAATGTTGAGAATCGGTCCGAGGCACGATCAGCTCGGGTGAGATCGGGATCGGACCGAGGCATTATAAATTCGAGTTTCGATCATGTAGGCCTGTCGCATTTGGCGCGGGCTGAGGAAAGTGTGAATGTGGGATCAGACCGAGGCGTGTGATGCTCGGGGCGCGATCGAGTGTGAATGTGGGATCGGACCGAGGCGTGTGATGCTCGGGGCGCGATCGAGAGGCCTGAGGCGTGTACGGGTACACGGGCCGAAAGTGTGGTGATGAATGGTCGTAGTGTGCCTGAGGTGTGTACTTCAACTCGGGTCACTGGCGAGTGATGTGGAAAAGAGAAAATGAGAACGGAATGAGTATGTGGGATGAGAATGGTACATGCGCGTGTTTGCATATGACGTGATGATGACTGAATGCGGATGTGCGCATGATTTTGCCTGATAATATTATTTGATGTGCCTGCGATGTGATGACTTGATGTGCACGAATGTGCGTGTTTGTGTGTTTGTCTGGAGGTACGTGATAGCGTAGGTAGGGTTTAAGTTGCAACTTATTGAGAAGTGTCTCATGGTTATATAAATCAAACCCTTTCAGATAACCCGCCTCAATAAGGAATCAGTCGCCACCGCCGCCGTCAGAATGGATGCCGTGCCAAGGACGCAAGGACTGGTGAGGAGGCGATGAGCTAGTGTTCGTGTAGTACCGCTTTTGGTAGATAAGGAATTTGCCTCTTTTGATGTATGGTTTTTAAGGTAATCGCAGTGGATGTGCATGTAAAATTTATGGACCCAGAAACATCGGGAAGGTGTAAGTATGTTCATATGTGGATAATGTAAGGTTTGTAAGTGTTGGCGGTTGGACGTGCAAGTTTAATTCTGGTGTTCTCCAATTTATTGTCCGGGTTTAATTATTTGTTTCCGCTATGATTGACTTTGACGCGAGACCGTTGAGTTGGCGACGTATTCCTGGGATGTCGCACCGTTCGACTCATGGAAGGGAGGTGTGGAAAGCATTGGATTTGAGTCAGGGCGTGACATCACAAACACACAATCGACGTACAAATTCTCATTTTTCCACCTCCAAACCACGACGAATCAATTCCGGCCCTTCACGACATTTTCACACGATTAATCGCCGAATCCAAATACTCAATTTACGTACCGAACGGCACATCACAGCACACCTATCAGCCCATCACAGCCCACTTTTGGTCTCCAATTTTCCACCAAAGTCTCCCAAATTTAATCCTTAGGCCCGCTAACAATTTCCGCTCCTAAAATCATACAAATCCGTGCCTAATTAAACTCGATTTCACTCCTAATTTTGTCCGTCGATACCCGACGTCCTAAATAGGGATTAGGGCGCGACTTACCAAACCCTAGACTAACACGGCTAGAGCGGAACGCGGCGGTGATCGGCGGGGACGGCGGCGAATGGCGGCGGGATCGGCGGCTTAGGCGGACGGCGACGGCGTTCGACGGCGTGGCTTCCTTGGTCGGCCAACTCACGGCCAAGAGAGAGAGAAAACCGAGAGGGAGAGGGAGAGGAGACGACGTAGGGTGATGGTGGTGCGGTACGGCAGGCAGTGGCCGGCGGCGACGGCGCGGCGATGTACGGCCAAAGTGGGGTGATCAGCGGTGAGGGAGGGGGAGAGAGAGAGCTCACGTGAGGGAGGGGAGAAAGAGAGGGAGCTCTCGGTGGAGGGGGAAAACCGGGAGAGAGGAGAGAGAGAATGAGGAGAGAGAGAGAGATTTTGGACTAAAATAGTCCAATTTTGACCAAAAGTGAGAAATTACCATCATGCCCTTTACTCACAATTTCAATCGATGGCTCAGATTCGATCTTATCTTCAAACCAACAGCCAAGATCGAATCTTTCCCAAAAATATCCAAGGGTAATTTGGGAATTTCATAAAATTCCAAGGGTAAAAATGTCCAATCAAAAAGTTAAAGCAAAATGACCAAAATACCCTTCCCTCTTAAAACTTGCCCTTAACAAATTCCTATGGGTAATTTGGTCACTTTCCTCATTTCTCGCCAAATCTAAATTTTTCTGAAGGATTCAGAAAATTCCAAAGTTGCACGTTCCATCCACAATGTCGTCCAAATATTCCGTTGTGACTTCCTAATTTTCCGATATCCAGTTTGGGCTCAAATAAATAATTAAATTTTATTAAACGTAACTCGAGCATTTCTCAAACTAACGGGCGGCTTTTTGGGGAAATTCGCATATTCGACTCGTGACTGATAATAAATCGAGTCACGTGCAAATTTATTCGGTTCGTGACGACTTTGGTTGTCATTTAAATCGCGAGGATCAACCGCTAGATCCGAGGGCCACGATTGTTTGGTATAGGTTTCGGATCATTCGTCAATTCATTTCGTGATCCAACGGAATCACCCGCGATCCACTACTATGATAGTGGCGAATTGATCCCTGGCTATCCTTGGATCAGCCTCCAGTGGCTCAAAATGTCACCTCGGCGATTTTCATGGTCGATAGTCGGTTCACGATCGAGTTTTTTGGTCGCGCGAATTTAAACCCCTAATTAGCCTTTTCCTAATGGTTAGTATCCTAGGAATGATCATTTCCGGACGAGAACTAACTACGAGTACGTTCATAAAAATATAAGCATTTTATAAATCCCAAATGGACAAATTTTCAGGATGTCACAGGATAGACCTGATGCGTATTTACGCTGGTCATTGGACAAAGCTCGGATTGATCGGAGGGCTGAGCTTGAGGCGTGTTTACGCGGGCTGTGGAAGGTGGGTTACACCCGAGGTGTGGTTACGCGGGTCATTGGAAAGAAAGAAATGTCCTGAGGCGTGGTTACACGGGACTGAGCCCGGATTGATCGAAGGGCTGAGCCTGAGGCATGTTTACGCGGACTGTGAGAATGGACCTGAGGCGTGTTTACGCGGGCAGTGAGAATGGACCTGAGGGGTGTTGACCCGGGTTGTGGAAAGTTGGCTGGACACGTGTGCGAAATGTGTTTGATTGAATTGGGTGAATGTACGTGTATATGGCGCTTGAGTGTTTATGTCGTGTTCTTGAGCTATTGAATCATAGTGTTTGACTAATGTGCAGAGGTGACGTGTGGATTGAGACGAGGTAAGTGCATGTTTGTGAATTCTGTACGTTACTTGTTAGATTGCATGTTAAGACTTGTCTGGGTACGCATTGGCCTAGGTGGGGTTTAGGTTATCTGCTTATTGAGAATTATTCTCATTACTATAATGCAAACCATTTTAGATCCCCGTCCTTGAGCATGCCACCAGCTAGACATTTTGGGGTCTCCATGCATATGGTGCATGAGGAGACAGAGTACCCGTTAGGTCCACATCAAACCTACATTAGGCACCTCACTACAGTATGGGTAAATGTAGGCCTAGAGGATTTGGAGCGTCACGCTTACTTGGCCTGGACTCATCATGTCGGGTTGGGGACTACCAGGCCAATCCGTGGTTTTGAGGGGCTACAACATGGGAGTGAGGGTGCTGTGAATTGGGAGCCCTGGGACAAGTATACTCCCGATGGCAAGGTGACGGACCCCGACGATCCACCGGAGAACCCTAGCCCCGAGCCCATGGAGTCTGAGCCTGAAGAAGAACCCGAGCCCGTGCCGGAGCCTATGGAGTTCGAGCCCGAGGAAGAGCCGGGTATTGAGGAGCGGCCGATCGAGATCAACTCGGACACGGAGTCTGAGTCTTCAAGGTCTGATTTGGAGTGGGTACCGTAGGGGTATTTGGGTATTGGGTGTAGGAGCTTTTGATAGGGCCCTTCTTGTGTATTCTGTAGTCTACCATGCCACATATCTCTTTTTGATGATGATGGTGGATCTTAACCCTAAGAGCCTAACGCCTGAATTGTATGACCGAATGTTGTAAGAGACGGTCTTCTAATGTTATGCTATTATTGTTTTGTGCAATCGTTATCCCTCTGTCATTATTTAATTGTCTGGGTTGTTTTATTTCGCTTCCGCTTGCGTATATGTGTGGGTGTTTCGTTTGGGTTGGCGACGTGTCCTGAGACGTCGTGTTCAATACAACCGAAGGAAGGGGTGTCATGAGCCCATTTGGGTTCAGGGCGTGACACACACACACCCCCCCCCCCCCCTCCCCCCCCGGGCCGGAACTTGAGCTTCTTCTTTCAAAACTAATAATTCAACAAAAAGACATTGTCTGTACTGCTCAAATCACAACGAGACAGATCCCATTTCACTATGTTTTAACTTTTAAGTCAACAAAGTCTGAGTAAAAATTGATGAGTTCTGGACAAGCTTAGGAAACATGAAATGTTAGATCATGGCAGCATCAGACAAATGAAAAATCATATGGGAAACCCATGCCATACACCTCAATTTAGCAAGCACATGACCTCATGTATGCAAGAAGAGACAATTGAAACTAATAAACAAGAAAAGAGATTTCTTTAATGAGTACACTGCCCATGGCATATCAAAAACCATTATTTCCTCATAGTTAAATCATATTTCTTTGAAGATGTTATATTTTCCGTTTTAAACTTGATAACATTAAAGACATCAAAGAAACTCGCTGCAGTGAAAAATTAGTTCCATAGACCTCCATTTATTTTCATGGTTATATGTAGCAACATTCAAAGTGCGACAACAAACAAAATTACAACGAAACCACACCCATCAGTAATCAACATAAGAATACATAAACCTCCAGTAAGCTTTAGTTGTCAATTGTCATATGTCACAATTTCAAAGAGGAGCTAAGTAGATATGGAATCAGCAACAAAAGCAAGTTTAGAAACTGACCTAATGCATGCCTCGAAGCTACTCGAATGCATCGACAGTATTGAGCCATAGCCTCCAAATTTATCATTTGCACAGCCATAATATACTTCCTTTATACCTAAAAATGGTTAAGAGTCATCTAATCATTTATGAAAAATCAAATTCTATGAAAGTTTAGTTCTATTTCGGTATGATCAACAGATGCACCAATGATCGATAATGCTGCTGCACACTTTATGCATAGTTCACATGTCACATAAAGAGAGCATGCTGAAAACTTCTCTGCAACTTCTGCAGACGAAAATCTTGTCCTCTGCCACTATTCAAAGAGAACATCAAGAGCTTCCATTTCCACATGTCTTGTTGCCTAGGAATGCGCAAGGAGAAAAGTAAAGAAAGCATATCAAACTTAGGAACTTTATCAGAGAGAAAGTTGCTCTTAGTGTAGTTTCAACATAAATTTAGGAAATACAGATAAAAAAAAACATAAATTTACGTAATGCATTTCAGGAAAAATATTTTCTCCTTCACGTTTATTTATTTTTTACTCTTGATTAACATTTGAGTCCAAATCTATTTCCTCTTAAAATCGCCCCTTCCGTATCTGCTCCATGTTGACTATACTTGTAAGGCTAGATCGTGTTCATCCTTTGCTCGGCAGACTAAGTGAGGTAGATTAGAGTGCATAGATTGTATCCTAGGGACAGGATTTTCGTCAAAGCCAACAGCATTAGATTATGAATCCTATTGGAAGAATCACTGTCTTTAAGACAGAATCATCAATACACCTTATCCGGAAATTTCATATCTTTCTTCAAATACCCACAACACTGAGAGTCTACGAGAGGATCTTATGCGTGAAGCATGGACAACTCTCTTTGCTCCTCACTATTAGGTATTCGATCTAATTTCTAGTACTCAAGCGTTACATTCTTTAAATTTTATGTGAAATTGCAGTTATCCTCCCTATACTTGAGATTTTGCAACGTCTCTTAACTCGCTTCCCAAAACTTTTGAATTTTGCATCTCTCACTACACCATTTTAATCAAGAGAGGTGAAGCCACCACAACAACTTGCTGTGATGTGATTTAAAGCAATAAATACGTGTCCAGAATAATCTATAAAATTATATTCTGTTTAGGCAATCAAGTACTCGTTAACATATCCAAGTATGCAATACAGCACAATCTATGAGCACTCAACATTCTGGTTCAGCAGCTTGCAACAGCTTTATTTCTATCCAAAAAATAAATAAATATCATTCCTCTATTCTCTCTCTCTCTCTCCTCATTAAAGCTTTTTCTTTGACTGTTCTCGGTCCGAAATTCAGACAGAGCACAATGGCAAACGAGAAACGTGAAACATTGTATATTTGTTAGCTGTAGTCATATTTTATGAAAGAATAATGAAAACAAGACCATTTACAGCCTAATAATGCATAGAAAATTGCACTTTTTAATAGATTTGTTCTGATATACTATTTTATCATATATTAAAGAAATATTTAAGGCAGAAACACAAAAAAGATCAACAATAACGAGTGGATAATGTGAGGGTATCAATTCAGAACAACAACAAAGTGCTGTTGGCGAAAAATTATAGAAAGGGGTGGAGAAGCAATGGTAGACATACATTCCGTGTCTCATTAGTCCTGTTTCTTCCTGTCGCAATAAGGTTCCCTTCCTCAACAATCACACAGCTGTTCAATCCAATTATAATACAAATAAAGTACAATGTGAAATCATTTACTAATTAAGACTGAAAATAATAATCATCTTACTTATAAAATATAGTAACACTGAAATGCACTTGGTTGCTGAAATCAGTTTCTTACCCAACTGGGACTTCAAGGCTATCCAAGGCAAGCTTTGCCTTATATAAGAAAAGGAGAAAAAAAATAAGCGCATAAGAGTCAGAATTCCTCTCATACGTGCATACAGGCAATTTAAGGGGAAATCAGAATCAAGTTGCCAGCAGTAGAACTATTTTAGTATCAATATGCAGCTACTAATTGAATGAATCCATGTCTCATAGCTATATGATCAAGATCTTGCAGGTCCTGTATGATACACTGGTCACAAACTTCCAAGTAATGATTGTTAATACATACTAATCCTGTAATTCAGATGCAAATCCCACTAACACTTAAACTGATATGGCTCTAACAACTGTAAAGAAAAAAAGCCACTAATTTAAGAAACTACATGTTGCTCATTCCAGTATGTCTTATTATTGGTACCTCGGAAGTTTATCTTTCATTAATCAGGTTTACTCAAACATTCAAGAAGCATCCAGGAGTTTTAGCTTCTCAGTCAATTTCCTTCATAAAGCTATGGCACATAAAAAATAAAAAGAGAATCCTAAGCTGTTACGAAGGATTCAGAAATCAGAATCGACTATCAGCTTCTTGTGCTTTTGACTCTATTCCACTGAATAACTTAAGTAAACGCCGTGTTTCTTGTGATTTGTTTCTTTTTCATATCCGTAGTCCACAGGGCGAAAGAAAATAACCACCTAACGAGTTATCCATGGGCACAACCGATGTTCATATTACTCTCAAGCTCCAAGTATTACTTTTCAATTCTCCCTAGTTGCCAAAGTAAACAAGCAGTAAAAGGACTCTGACTACCAAGCAACCTTTCCTGGTGACTGCCATCTCACTTCTTCATTCCTTATGGTTTTGCCTATTCAAGCACCTCATAAAACTTAGTGACAGAGTCCTATCCCAGTGATCGAAGTTCCTCACAATTCAATAAGCACCCAAACCCTCTCTCTCTCTCTCTCTCTCTAGATGGTTGTCCACTCCATTGCCTGGTTTCGGGTACGGGAATTACCAACCTATAGCACCCGGATTGGCTCAGTACTTCGCCTGAAAAGGGGATTGAACAAACCCATGTACACCCTACTTCCCATTGTTTCACTCACCCTTGCTTGTTTTTCCATTAAACCTAGACTTCACCTACTTCTTTGAACAAAGTGCTACCTATCAAAAGAAAGAAAGAAAAGCTATGCCTTCTAAGGATTGTTGCTGATTTCGCAGCGCGTAACGTCGATTGCCAATGAATTCACTACCAAGCATCCACAGACTAAACTTACTAAGAAACACTCAATCAACGTCTCTCGAAACAAATTCGACGATACATTCTTCAAGTTCCCACGCAATTGTAGCACCGAACGAATCGAATTCAAAATCCATCACAAGTATTACAAATAAACTTAACACACTTCGGATGTGCCAGACGTTGCCTGATCCATCGCAAGCTGCATGAAGCCCAGAACGAACCTCAGGAGAGAATCGCTCACCAGAAGCTACGTCATCGGTTTCCATGGCTTCGGACGGCGGCGGTAGTCCGTTGCTCCCTCGGCGGCCTTGAGGATCGTATCTCGTAGATGTACTTATCGTTTCTGCTGGTAGATAGAGATGATCCATAAACCGACAACGCAGATCCCCGGACGCGTCGGTGGAGTTGGCAGGCCACCTATGGCGGAGAAAAGAGGATTTAGCAGAAAAAAAAAGCCATAAAAAAACCAAAACTATGCCTACACATTTACCCTATACTATTTTTTGTGACATCAAAAATCTGAAACTATGTCCACCATAACATTTTTACCCCAAACTTATTCTTATGACATAAAAAACCCTAAACTTTTACCTATGTGACACATTTACCCTCCGTCGAGGTTCCGTTAGATGATTTTTCAGCCAAAATAATGCCGTTTTTTTTTTTTACTTAAATCACGTGGGCGCCATGTTAGCATTGTTTGCTTTCTGGCATTCATGTAGGCAAATTTTTAATGGTTCACATTAACTGAACTTTTATGGAGGTAAATGTGTCATACAAATATAAGTTTGAGATTTTTAGTGTCCCGAAAAAAAAATATAGGGAAAATGTGTTATGGTGGGCATAGTTTAGAATTCTTGGTTGCCTTTGCTGAAAAAGAAAACAAAATATATATAATACTTGGGTATAATACCCAAAGAAAGCCTAAGAGGAGAAGACCTGCTGATTTCTCTTTAATTCTATTTGACTATGTTCCTTAGCACTCCTCAGACGATCTTCCAAGTATTTTTGTAGATCTGCTTCGCTCAAACTATCTTTGTGCATAAGTGAAATCTCGGCTTCTAAATTTGTTGATTCAGGAACAATTTCGTAGAGTAAAGCTGGATCCATTAGCTGATTGTCTCGAAGAATAACCTTTAAATCGTCTTCTAGTGACTTGCATATTATTCGGAATCCTCACTTTTTCACGTTTTCACCCGAGAGTCTTATGCTAAATTGTGCGTAACTCCCATCAATTTGACCAAAATCAACTTCTTGCCACAGCTCAAATGGTTCAAAATACTCAAGCCAGATATGATCCGATTCCGACCCAAAGCGTTCGAAATATGGTACAAGGTAACTCCGAGGATCACCATTAACATGTGGTTGAAGCATAAAAGGGCATCTCTTTGTCTGGTCACCATTACCGAAAGCGATATAAAGAGCAAATCCAAAAAACTTGTCATACAAGTCCTCTGAAGCCATAAAAGATACGGAATCCTCTTCAACAGGGAGAACCCACTCTGGCATCTCTCCTCCTGGGAGAGTAATTAGGTAACCAGGGTAATTACGAAACTTCTGTTATAAAGATAGAGCATTAGAAAGTACCGAGTTTGTTATCCGTTTCCAAATAGAAAATTCAATTTGAGTTAGTAATTCTAGCGAATTCCACTTTAAACCGGAGGTGAATAAGTGAGTATAGATCCAATAATCCTTGCTTGCATTAACGTACAAGTCTCATGTGATAGAAATCATTCCCAAAAGCACAGTAGCCACCTACACTGATTATTCAAGCCAATGACATATGCAACATTTTCCTTGTTATTGGTATTGCTAGTATCCAATCAATGCCAAATACTGATTATTTACACCAAGATATGGACTATATGGTGCAAAATTTTTCTTTCTTAGTTTAACTTTTGTAATGTTTGGTTTTGATTTTATACCATCCTCATGATAGCTGATTTAAAGAGAGCAATTTGAAATTATGTTTTACCATCTGATCTAGCCATATCAATTAATGCCCATCTAAAAAAGATTAATTAATGAAGTTTTTCTTGGCTACATAATAAGTAAATTTCTTATGTAAATTACCTTTTATATATGGTAATTTGCTATGTAAGTTAATTATGCCGCTGTGTTTTCTAACTTTATTTCATTTTTAGTTAATAGTTAATGGTAAAAAAAAAGTAGTAAATGACAAAGTTTGTGTATAACTTCATAAATGAATTTTTCAAGTTCTAGTCCTAGAGAACATTTAACTAACACCCTTTCATATTTCCTTTAACGAAATATAGGTTGATGGAGGAAAATGGAGCCAATGATTGTTCAACACATGATATATCCATAGCACACTATTCTATCCAACTTTGCATTACTGTATCGATATGTCTATAAGCCTAAGAGGTTTCACAAGTAGTAAACATTTTTATCCTCCTTGATCAACGCCTGAGTTCAAATCACCACATTGGCACATTTTCTCTGTGCTTCTCCCAGTAACATAAACCTGCATGTCCTCAGTAATTACCCCATGTTGGTGGGTTCGGCCAGAGGGGGGACTATCTCATCTAGTGGAGATTAGTTGGGTACTCAAAAAATTAGGGGCTATCACATTGATATAAAGAAAAAACTCTTACATTATTTTGATAATTTCTTTTGTGAGAACACGCATTGATATAAACAGTTTGACCTCACTTTATATTTGTTTGCTTTTCTTAAGCCTCCACTTGCATTTTTGCTATTGCCATATACAAGCACACACTGGATCCAGCATATACTCCACATCGGTTTATGAGAGAGAGAGAGAGTCTAACCTGGTCAAGTGGGGAAGTATTAGCCATGGTCAACTTTCTACGGACAAGATGGCGAAATGAAGTTAAATCTCCAAATTTTTGCAGAGATTCGCAATCATCCGCCTGAAAAGAAATCAAAAGTGGTGGAAGCTCGGGAATCTCTCGTAATTGATGGCATTTTCTAACATTCAGCTGGCACAAATGATCACGCTTAGTGATGGACGTAGGAAGACTAGTAAAATTGTTCCTCTGCAGATATAAACTTTCCAAGACGGGAAAACAGGAAAGATTCTCAAGAAACTCTACTTTGGACAAATTACATCCTGAGAGGTCTAAACTGTATGACTTTGGAAGTCCAGTCTTCATGCACGGATCAGCTGAGTCCTCATACTTTGGAAACCCAATTAAATTGGTGCAAGAGCTAACTTCCAAGCAATGAAGGTTTTGTAGTTTATAAATGCTAGATGGAACATGTTCCAGGTTCTTGCAATTTTGTATGTACATTTGGTTCAAAGAGACAAGATTTTCTATTGATGTAGGAAGCTCTTTAATAGCGGTCATTTGTAAATAAAGCTCTCCCAAGCCTTTGAGTTTATGTGGAATATCAGGGAATCTTTCAAATTTTGTGCATTTTTCAAGATGGAGACGTCGGAGATTTTTTGACTTCAGCTCATTTGGAAAAACACTAAGTTCAAGGCACTCCCTTAAATCCAACACCTGTAACTTGTCATGATATGCAATGGACTCATGGGCTTCTACCAAGCTTTTGCAGTTATGCATATACAATTCCTCGAGATTTGGAGTAAACGAGAGGTCAGGCATGCGAACCAACGACTCGCAGTAACTGAAATTCATGTACTTCAAATTTTGGAAGCCCTGCAAAAACAGCGAAACCAGCTTTGATAAACATTCTAAAAGGGAAAAAGGGGTGTTTGTATGATGATGTTCCTTCCTTACATTTAAACCGTGGAATTCCCGTTTGAGGATAGGTTGCTACTGAGGCATATCAGGTGTTGGTCTTTCAAGAGATTATTATATTTTAGGCCATCAATCGTAAATTTTGAGCAATTTGTTTATTTAACGTAGAGGTGATATGTTGCAAAGTCCACAAATAGCTAGCTATTGTACGTAGACGGGGAAGTCAAACTCGTGAAATGATGGTAATTTAATATTGGATATCATTCGCGTTGTCCATGATTTTATATGTTGATCATTAATAATATCATAATTTATTTGTAGGGGCTTAGCTTGATTGAGGGTTATAAAATTGCCTCCACAACACATGGGGGAGATTGGGTTTATCAGGGGAAAGAACACGTCACAATTACATATCCTCAACTGTTATATAATCTATATTGACCGGGTGAACATTGAATATGCCCTTATTACATATCCTTAGGCCACAGCACTCTTCATGTGGAAGGAAGCAAGGAGCTTCGGTACATCAGACAACACGGGACCTACTATTCAGGTTTCTGAGTGAATTTCTTAATTTATTAATTAACTTTTCATTCAAAGTTACTATGAAGTGATTTTGTGAGTATTAAATATCGCATTGAGAAATTACTAAACACTTAGAAACTTTACTAGTAATTATACATGCATACTTACATATATATGTACATTTTAGTAACTCAGAGTTAACTCTTATCATTTGACATTTTGGATATTATTTGAAAGAATTGAATAATATATAGACACACCATATAAAAAAAGGTCACAAGTAAAATTGGGGTAACAATTGTTAGAAAAGATTAGAATAAGTATCATTAAAAATCCCAAATCAACATGCAGATTTACCCCTTATTAATTTTCGTCTTACGAAAATCCTGCACTGGTACGATTATGATACATTTATCAAAATCTAATTTTCGTTTAATAAAACATCCCATACCGGTACTCCTCACCCAAATCTACTCTCTATTTGTAGATGAAAATTAGTTTGGGATAAAATGGTACCGCGTGTCATGCATGTGGCAATCCCAAAATCTAAGTGAAGGGTCATTTGGCGAATAGGCGAATGTGTGGCATGTGACAAAACTATACCACATATCATGCCATGTGACAATCATAGAAGCATAGGAAAGTGCCACATTGTGAGTGTGGCTGTGGGCCACGTAACAAAACGATGCAGCGTGTCAAGTCATGTGACAATCATAGAAGCAAAATGAAGTGTCACGTGGTAAGCACAAGAGTGAACACTTTGTCTGATTCTGGCTCTAACTATATATAATAGATGAAGGTCAAGAATATATGTTTTATCACAAAAGAATTTCCCAAAAATCAATAAAATTTAAAATTTGTTGAAGTTTATCAAAGACAATGAAACCAACTTTGAAAAACATTGGAAAGAAAATACAAATTTCATATATTGAATTCAAAAGGGCTAATGTAGGTAAATGCTCACCTTAAATTGATTTGGCACTACTGTGATACTGTAATTGCTCATATCAAGTCCCACTAATTTCTTTCTACCAGAGGAAAATTTTGGAATCTGAGGAGCACATCCATTCCATCGAAACCATCTTAGCTCATTAGGAAGACATATAGGACCTTGGAAAGAATTATGCACATTTCGCAAAATGAGCAATCTCAACCTTCTCATTTTTGTTAAATCATCAGGAAAAATACATATTTCTGTTGGCTCAAGTGGCTCCACCACTATGGCTTTTACAACACAATCTTCCTGTATAAAGAAGACTATTTGGGTTATGCAAGTTCAGTAATTAGAGTAAAATAGATAAGGAGCAGAATCTGATCATATATGCAAGTCTTACCATGTCACTTGACAGAACATCGACAACGTCATCATACAGCCATAGTTTGTTGTGTTTCCCAGGATCATCGCTTTCTTGGTTCACAATATCCATACCCATCAATTGAATCAAGTCATGAATTTGTATGTTCTGGCACTCAATTCTTATCAAGGACCTCTCTATGAGAATTTGTAATCCTATCACTGCCTTAAGATCGCAACTATTGAGAACTTTCTTTACATACTCACTATCCCAAACCTTAAAGAAGCAGGCAATGTGGAGAAAGATCTCTTTCACTTTTGGCTCTAGTCCACCATAACTTATTTTGAGCACATCATTGATGCCTTTTTTAGGAGCCGTAGAAATTTCATCCTGTGCACTTTCCCATTCATATTCTCTTCTACCGCGTAAGAAGGAACCTAGCACCTCAAGTGCTAAAGGAAGACCTTTAGCATGATTTAGAACGCTATCCACTAGATCTGTCTTGATTTTAAAATTTTGGTGTGTCGGAAAAGCATGCTTACTAAATAGCTCACGAGCTTCACTGTCATCCAGTTCTCTAACTTCGTACACATGATATTGATCTATCCCGAGATAAGTTAACAAATGGCTATCTCTTGTAGTAACAATGATCCTACTCCCATTACGAAGCCACTTACCTTGTCACGCCCCGAACCCCATCGAGCTCGCGACATCCCGCTCCGGTCGAAATAATGCGACGTCCCAGGAACGTCGCCGACCCAACCCAAACATCAGAGCCACATGCGGAAGCGAATAATAAAACCCCGGACAAATAATGACGACAACGGGGTAGAACAACTGAACAGTCCAGCAACCACATATTCATACAACACCAAATATACAAACATCATATTCCAGACATAAATACAGACTAACATCCTCAGTCACCGTTTAAACAAAAGATCGAGGTCTGGTTAACTTAACTTCCCTATGGGTCAACCCGATTTACACAACCCCTAAAACCCTAGGGAAAAACCTAAGGATCGCCCTCGTCCAGTCTGCTTCTGAATTTCTGGCTTGAAACTCTGGAACTCACCTGCAGCTCCACTGGGCACCAACAGCAGCTCCCCGGACTTCCAAAAAGAAAAGGCGCACTTCCCGGGTTTAGGACCGGGGGTCTGAAAGTGGCGATTATACAACCGTGAGACGAATCTCAATAAGTGTACAACCCCAAACCCCACGTAGGCACTCACGTACCGCCAGACGAAAACACACATAACACACAACGATCGGCCAAACTAACAATCACATGCGACCCTACCTGGAATCCATCACGCACGTTCCTGCACGTTAGACAATAACACAGCCAACACATCACAGCAAGGAATCACAGACGCGTGCGTGCCTCAATTATAAGATAGAAACCACTTGGGCACGTCCCATACCGTGCCTAGCAGTTTCTACCCCATAATTAAGCATCACATCACGCGATACAAACACACTCGCACGCTACTCACACCATGCGTCACTTTCCACAATCCTCTCGCTTGTCTTGCCAAATCCCACTCATTCTCAACCTTTCCACCACTACCGCGCCCGCGTAAAACGCATCAGGCCAACGGTCTTCTGACCACGTCAGGCATCGACACCTCGTCAGGCCGGGCATCGTCACCTCGTCAGGGACGGCATCGTCCCGCGTAAACGTACACGCCTCAGGACGGAATCCTACACACACTTTCCTTCTACCGCGCCCGCGTAAAACGCATCAGGCCAACGGTCTTCTGACCACGTCAGGCATCGACACCTCGTCAGGCCGGGCATCGTCACCTCGTCAGGGACGGCATCGTCCCGCGTAAACGAACACGCCTCAGGACGGATCCTTTCCAACCAATCCCACATTTCCAAACCTTCGTTCCACACTCTCCACACGTACCACGCCACCACACAAACACACTGCCAAACATACACACTTCACACACATTCCATAATTTCGCATTCTCGTCACACGAACACGCACCATTTAACCACACGCTCTCGGCACGCGAATTCAATGCACATTCACATTACCATATCACCACACTTCACGGCTACATAAACACGGCACGCCACCACACCACATTCAGCCCAATGCACAAACCAAATCAGCCCACAACGATTTCCAAGCCAACCAACAAGCACAATCACACAACCACGCACAAATTTCCATTCAAGGCACAATCCCATTAATTAATCGCACAAATTAATTCCGATCAAACCCCAACATCACAGCCCTAATCCAAGCTCCCTAAACCTCAAAATTCTTCGCCTAATCAATCCGCAACCACCAAATAATCAGTCACTCAAATCAGTCCCGAACAGCCCCTAAAACAGTCACAAATCGCCTAAACCGAGTCCTAAACGAGTCTAGAAATACCCGAGCTCCTAGGTAGTTTTTGGGGGAGACACTTACCCAAAAAAGGCGAGACAGAACGGGGCTGGAACGGGCCGGGACAGCGGCAGCAGCGTCGCCGGCGATGTACGGACGGCGTGAACAGCGTACCGTACGGACGCGGTGAACAGTACACTCCGTACGGACACTGTACGGACAGGCTGGGACGGTGGCCGGCGAGGTGCCGGTGACAGCCGCGGCGTCCGACGGTCAGGCGCGAACAGTGATCCGTACGGACGGTGAACAGTACCCGTACGGACTGTGCTGGACGGCGACGTACGGCGAGGCTGGACGACTGGGTGTCGACGGAACGGCGATCGGGGCTCCGGCGAAGCTCCGGCGGTACTGTTTGCAGACCGGGAAAGAGAAAAACAGAGAAACAAGGCTGTTTTGGACAAAAACTGGGGCCGTGGTGGTGCACAGAGGTGAAAATGGTTGTCTTGGTGATGTTGGCTTGGTGGGCAAAGACTTGGTCATGCTTCGGCGTGAACGATCACGGAAATGGCGTAAACGTAATCTAGAACAAGAAACGGAGAAGAAGAAGAACTTGCACGGGAAAATAACCAAATAGCCGAGAGGAGAGAGAGAGGTCTGGTCAAATAGGTCAAAGATAGCTTAGTGGGATCCAAGTGTCACAATCTAGGCCCATTGGACAATTTTGCCCCTAATCCAAGGGCCCAAATTTGATCCAATCCAATAATTTAGGGGTAGAATGGTCATTTGCTCTTAACCATGGTTGACCAGACCTGGTTTGGCCTTAACTCACCTTGGTTAATCCCAAAATTAAATCCAATTTTCGGAATTAATCAAAAATGGCCTAGGGGCATTTTCGTAATTTTCCGATCCCGAACCGAAATTCCAATTTTCGCACATACGTGTTCCATATGTGCGTGGCCAACATAATATGGCGTCGGAATCGCGAAATTCATCGCGCAAGCCCTCGAAAATCCACGTCAAAGTGTCGGGAATAAAATAATATTATTTTTCCAATTTTTGTCGAAATTCCAATTTTTGGCCAAAACCACTCTGAATGTGCGTGGCCACCCCAAAATGGCCTTGGCCGCGAAAAATAACCTCAAACGGCCTTCGAATCCAGCCTCGGTGCCCACAGGGGCAAAACCGTAATTTTTCCGGCCCCGGACCGAAATCCATTTTTTTTCGCAGAAATGGGTGGCCCCAAGGTTGGCCAAACCAAAAACGTCATCGGCCATCCAAAATTGTCACTTTCAAAATTCTCGATTCCCGGGCCCGAATTCCAAGAAATGACTAAAATCGAGCAATAGCAACTTTAGCTTATCTCTGGCTAACGGGTGGCTCTCTGGAATTACGCGCTCTCGACCCGTGACCGACACTAAGTCAAATCACGTTTAAGTTTACTCCACCCGGGACGACCTCGGTTGTCATATAATTGCGAGGGTCTGTCACTAGTGCCCTTTGGTCACGATCAATCAAATAGATCGGTCTCGGTTGGCTCAAAACATTTCCTCGTCAATCGATATGGTCGAAGTCGAACCCAGGTCGAGTTCTTTGGTCGTGCGAACTCAATCCCGTAACGGCCCTACCCCTAAGGTTAGCATCCCGTGAATGCGCATTTCCGGGTGAGACCTCACTATAGTGCATTGGTCAAATTCATTTCTTAAATCCCGGGAAAAGGATCGAAAATTCAGACTGTTACATACCTTCTCCTACTGAAGCATGTAACTGGCGCAAGTCATCCACGTCATCAAGGATAAGGAGAACTCTTTTGTGACAAAGTCTTTCTTGTATTAGATTAATACCTTTGTCAACATTGGACACTACTAATATTTCTTTCAGTGCTAATATCTCAAATAGTAATTTTTCTTGCAAAGTTACTAAATCCTTGTAATCTTTTGAAACTTCTCGAACATTTGCCAAAAAACATGAATTCCCAAATTGATTGAAAATATCATTATAAATGGCTTTGGCTAAAGTCGTCTTTCCTATGCCTCCTTGTCCCCACAATCCCACCATGAGAACATCATCATCAAACTCAAGGTTTAACATTGATTTTAACTTAACCACTCGGGAATCTATCCCAACCGGATGTGTAGCAACATGCAAAAGTGTTCGGTCTAGGTGAGTGGAGATTTCCGTCACAATTCTTTGTATAAGCTCTGACTCATCTCTGAAAAAAAAAAAAGAAGTTGTGGTACCGTTTTAGCAATTTGAATAAGCAAATAACAAGCAATTACTAGCCAACGATGACAAAAGCAGTGCATCACATTTTTACATAACCACGGCCAAAACAAAATGTATTCCTACCAAGTCGAATTAGAACTCAAAAGAGCTCCACAACAATCGAAACAAGTTCAGGGTTCAACTTTTAGTCATCCAAGTGATTCATGCGCTTTTGATTTATACAGGACGATTTAGTTATTTTTTTTTGTTGAACTGTAATATGTAATTTATTTATACGCTTAATCAAAAAAAGTTATTCAGGACTTTGAACGATGGTTGAGATTTTGATTTGAAAACTATCAAATTACGCCGAAGCGCGATGTCATTGCCTTACATGGCCTGTGCACACTGATTATCATGTATCAAGGGCAAAAGGACACTATAAGTGCCATAACTTGTGTACGGAGATCACTTTGGTGTCATAACTTTTTTTCGGATCACTTTGGTGCCAAGTCGGAGGAAAAACGATCACTTAAGTGTCATAAGTTTTTTTTGGATCACTTCAGTGCTAAAATTTTTGAAAAACGATCACTTAAGTGCTAAAATTTTTGAAAAACGATCATTTAAGTGCTAAAATTTTTGAAAAACGATCACTTAAGTGCCAATCTCCGGTGAGCCTCCGGCGAGCCACGTCAGCTTCAGAAATTAATAAAAAAAAATGCCACGTCGGATTTCCGGTGAAAAATTGTGTACGGCACCGGAGTTGGCACTTAAGTGATCGTTTTTCAAAAATTTTAGCACTTAAGTGATCGTTTTTCAAAAATTTTAGCACTAAAGTGATCCAAAGAAAACTTATGGCACCAAGTGAGCGCCGTACACAAGTTATGGCACTTGTAGTGTTCTTTTGCCATGTATCAAGTGTTGGCGAACTTTCTCTTTCCTTCCAAAGAAAAGGGATAGGTGTAGTAACACATACTTAACATTTTGTCCATTGATTGATCAAGTTTTAACATTTTATATTGTTCCAATAAGTCAGTAAAACTTTCGGGCAATGAAGTCCTATTGTCAAATTTTTTTACGGTAAAAGCCACGTGTCTATTCTATGGTTAGCTACATGTGATTTTTCAAACTCAAAATGCCACCGGTAATGAGTTTATGACTCGGACCTTACCCAAATGAAAGAGCTATGGACCTTACCCGAATGAAACAAGGCTTAGCAAAAGTCAAAGGCAGAATTCTATTGTTTTTTTTTGGTAAGGTAAAAAAAAACAATAGAATTCTGCTAAAAATAGTTTTTTTTTTGTGATAGTGAATTTCAATAAGTATTTGTAAGTATTCATAAAATTGTCGGTAAAACATGATCAGTGACCTTTTCCTTTCCCATAACTTGTTAGTACCTTACCAACGATTTTATGAAATCACCAATCTTTTTTATAATTAGTAAATAACTAATTTTTCGTAGTAACTTACCAAAATTGATTTGCATTACTTATGGCCTCAAACTTACTATTATATGAAATTACCAACATAAATTAGAGTGACTTATCAACATTCGTTATATTAAATAATTACCTGCTAGTTTTGGGTTACCAACTCTCACTTGAGCGACTTATGTTCTTTTAATTGACCATCTTTTTTTATTGAGTTACCAACTCTCATTTGAGTTATTTACTAACTAATTTTAGAAATTGCCGATCTTAATTAGAGTGACTTACGAACTTCTCTACAATTAAGTTGCCAACTAATTTTGGGTCATCAATTCTCGTTTGAGAAACTTGCCAAGTTTAATTTTCTTTTAATTATCAAATTTTCTTCAATTTTGCCAAATTTTATTTTTCTTTTTCAACTAAATTTTAAATTTACCAACTCTTATATGAGATTACTCACTTTAACTCAAGCTGCTAAAGAATTTTCAGAAACCATAAGATGAAGCAGCTATGCATATACTTACAATCATGTGTGTGCAGACTATTTACAAACAATCTCTATAATTACTTGTAAAAATTGGTTTCTTATACAAAATATGAACTCCACTCTACTTACCCATCTTTCAAATGCCACCCAGACAAGTTACCAGCATCGAAAAGAGCTTTCTCCCATCTCTTCACTTCCTTCAAATCCTTCCCGAACTTGGACTCATGCTTGATCATAGCTTCTCCGTACCTCTCTCTTGGTGTTCTCACTTCTCTAGGTTCCACTTTGTAAAACAAGGGAAAGACCATGAGATCTCTTTCTTTCTTGCACTCCATGATTCTCGCCACCTCTTCCAAACACCACCATGAGGAAGCGTAATCCTCAGAGAAAATGATTATCGCGATCTGTGATTCCTCGATCGCCTTCATAAGCGCCGGCGTTATTTGCTCTCCTTTCCTGAGCTCCTTGCTATCAACATAAGTGTAGATTCCTTTTTGGTCAAGAGCTCTCTGGAGATGATCGAGAAAGTTGTTCCGGACGTCCTTGCCTCTGAAACTTAAGAACACATGGTAAATCCTTTCACGTTTCGATGAAGAAGCCATTAGATGATGGAGTTCAACAATCTGCAACGAATATTAGCTTAAGATCTGGTAGAGTGTTTTTAGGTAATCCGTTCACCATTCGATCTTCTTGTTGATTTATTCTTATACTAAAGGATAGAGGCGCATGACTTTTTTAGGACAGGGTCAACAAAAAAGAATATTAGAAATTTGGAAAATGATGGTGCTTCTGGATGACCAAGATATCTAATAGGTGTGAGCACGTGGACTTATTTTTCCTGAAGACCGCATATCACCGGGTTATTCCGATTGGCTGATTGATTGACGAGTTTGTTTGTTTGATATTGTATTTATTGGTAAATTGTCGACAAATTTGACCAGTCAACAAGCCAAATAGCCGACGAAGGCAGAGAATAGTATAGATCACTACTGGTCCCAGTGGACTCAATTATTGCACAAACTAACAAAGAAACTTTACTGGCTTCCTTGAAATCACATCCACGACCTTCGAGTAGTTGTTTCTTCTTTGCTAAATCGTAATTAAACACGTGACCCCTCAAAATAGACATGGCCACGGGCCGATTTCGGCCTGGAACCGGCCCGGGTCAAACCCGGGACCAGCCCATTGATAGGGCCCGCGGTTTAGAACCGGAACCGGCCCGTGGCCTACGGGCCCGGTTCCGGTTCCAACAATTTTGGAACCAGCGGTTCCAGGCCCGGTTCCAAAAAAAAATTCATTCTTTCTCTTTTTTTTTCTCCAAATTTGATTATAATATACGTTTTGATTACATTTTATATTGAATAATTCATTATTTCATAATTTGATAATTCATTATTTTTTTATTTCATAATTTATTTTTTAATTTTTACCGGCTGGTTCCGAACCAGGCCAGAACCGGCCCGGAACCACCGGTTCTGATTCATACATGGCCACGAACCGGAACCGGCGGTTCCGGTTCGTGGCCATGTCTACCTCAAAAGACACATCATCATACGCACGATCAAATATATCGGCAAAGAACAATATTAGATCTATTAATAAAATTAGAACTTTAGAAATGGTTCTTAAGTGTGGACCGCTATATCTAATAGGTGTGAACCCATCAACTTATTTTCTCTGGAGAACGGATATCACGGCAATATTCAGATTATCTTATTTTACACAAGTTTCTTTGTTTTTATATCAAATTTATTGTTAAATAGTTGATGCTCTTGAGCGGTCAACAAAAGTGTTTTCAATTAATGTACCGGATTCGAGGCTTTTGTCTATGTAGTCTTCGTTTTTCTTTTGGAAATTGAAGTATTTCATGTCATTAGGTTAGCTTTTATCATATGCTCACTAATAGAAAAAATTTATGGCTTCCTCGAATGGCAATCCCAACCTCCAAGTAGTCGTTTTTTCTTTTTTTTTCTTTTCTCCAAACTGTCGATAATAATTTAACACATGACCACTCAAAAGATATATAATTGATACGAACAACTAAGTATATAATTGGTCTAGCCCTATTTCGTTATTTTTATAACTTAGGGGCACGAGAACAAAAGCCCAGCTACCCCGGAAGCTTATATACCTCTCTAGTGAAAACTCTTTTATCATTTCAACACTGCAAAAGACATGATATATATCTATATGGCTATTTTGTGAAGACTTCATTGAAAGAGTAACCATTGTAATTTATGGGTCATGTGGGAGTGAAGAAAGACATCCCAGCCATACCTGTATGCTATGAATATTAAGAAAGTTTTATTGCGAATTTGATCACAGCGTGACACGACTCTAAAGAATGACAAGTCTAGACCTCTTGGATGTCAATCATATTCACATGTAAACAAATGACGGAACTCTGTTTTACCCTACATATGAAAACAGTTCTTTCTAATAGTCAAAGAATTACAACATTCCAGACTAGATGTTAAAAGAGTAAGTTTTTCAAAGTTTATACCTCTAACCTCGAAACAAAACTAGTGCTTCAAATAAGACCATAATGAAGTCACGCTTTCTAAACATAACAGCAAGATGAAAAGTAACTCAAGGGCAAGGAGTGTTAGCATTTCGTGTACCTAGTAAAGGAGAAGAAGCAAAATTGTCATAGTTTATGCAGACATTTTGGGAGACAACTCCCCATTTTGATGTAATATGCAAGTTTAAGGAGGCCAAAGAACATCAATAGTCTAACAAAAAATGATAATCTTTTCTCTTAATGCACACACAGCTTCAAATGTAACGCCCAGTGTAACTTCCATTTGTGGAAAGTGTTAAATGTGGTAAGCACAACCTGAAACCTACAACAAGCAAACTAAGTTCAAGTATGCATCGTCAGGACTATGAATTAAAATTCACTCAAAGATCCAACTTTCATCCATAGAAAAAAGGAATCCTACAAGGTAGTGCTAGAATATTACTGGCAGAGGTATTGTGAAATTCGTCTTCAACATGAACAAGATTGTTCTCCAATGTGGTCAGGAAGACTCAGGCAATTGGGAGCCCCAGCCACATATTCGCAAGACTTAAGAAAATAGATGGCACAAGAGTTATGGACTTCAACCGCACATAACACAAAATAATCCATAGGAAAAGCAAAATGAAGAGTTGACTAATCACTATTAAAATAATAGTTTCTACTTCTCATCCAACACATAAGTGAGTGTCGATAACTGATCAATTGTGCTAGACCATTGAGATTTTATTGTGCTTTTATGACTACTAGTTTCTATCCAAACATCTGCTCAACTTGAACAAGACAAAAAAAACCATGAGAGTACTAATTTTGGCACCATAAATAAACTAACCTCACTTGGTACTGTCGATTTGTTGAAGAGATCCAGCAAAATTGTGAGAGAACTTTAGGTGAAGTTAAATTTCATCCAGAGATTAAGAAGCTTTTGTTATATCTCATAGACCTAATGAAGAGACAGATGGGCTCTGAGAATGTAATAGAGGTGTTGAGGAGAAGAGTTAATGGGAGTTTTCAAAAAAAAGGAATCAGAAAAGAGGAGGCAGGGCAGGAACCTTTCTTTTGTTTGGGTGGGTTTCTTTTCTTTTACCAAGTGGTACTTCCTTCTCTCTAAATGCCCCAATTTCTCTCTCTCTCTCTCTCTCTCTTTGCTAGAGAGAGATGGAAAGTAGCTATTTCCAAGGCTCTAAGTTTTCTCCCTTAATTTAATTCCGCAGAAGGGATATCTTATGTGTAAATAGTTTCTTTTTTTCTGGTGGCTTCAAAGCCATAAACAAAGTGATAAATACTCACCTCTCAACAGAAATCCCTGTATGGAGCCAATGGATGGCAATGCCATCCAAAGCAAGATTTCCTCCCAAGTCTCCAACTTTCCACATGCCCAACACATACAGCTAAGAAATGTTTGAACTCCCTTAGCCTCCTAGACTAAACCAAAGCTGATAAAAAAGCCATGGATTCCACATGGATTCATTATCTATTATGTCAACAATTAAAGTAAGCCCATATTGTATAGTGCTCATATAGCAGCTCCACTCTCATCAATGCTTAACACAATGAGCAAACTCAGCATGCTTACAGGTTCATGACAGGAGAAATAACCTCATGCCCTCGCTACCAATAATCCCCGCAAGAGCAAATGCCACTCCTAAAGCGATGAATGCGGCTGGAATCTCTCACAACCATCTCACGATCAACAATCTTTGCAATAAGTTTAATTGCAAAATGACATTCCCCACAAATGCAAAGATTCTTCATTACAGTTATTGTACTACCCTTGATAGTAATAATGACCCTTCCTTCTGTTCGTCTTCCATGTCATGGAGAGAGAACCTCTTATCTGGAACGTTACCCGATTCCTTCAACTTCAGTTTCAACCAATCCGGCTTCCAATAGATGTTCTCACTCAAACGGTGGGATTTATCCCTAGAAAGAAATAAATGCTTTTGCCCCTTTATAGTAACCCAACTGCTACCTGGTTGCTTCACAATCCATTTATCCCTCATAGTCACTCTTAATCTCGAGACATCACCCCACCTATTAGCAGAAGCATAGAAGTTGGACAGTAAAACATAAGCAGCACTACAATGTGGTTTTGGGTCAAGAATATAGTTTGCAGCTCTTTCTGCCAAATCTAGGTTAGAATGCATCCTGCAAGAACTAAGCCAAGCAAGCCACACTATGGAGTTAGTTTTAAAGGGCATGTTCTTACAATATCCTCTGCTTCCTCTAGCTTCCCACATCATCCTAGCACATCTACCATGCATGCATAATGCTCATGCTTCAATTCACTGAAAGTGTTCTCACTAAAGTATCTGAATAAGCACCTCCCCTTTTGTAACATCCCAGAATGACTACAGGAAGAAAGTAGTCCCGTGAGTGTGATGTCATCTGGTTGTACCAGTCCGCAAATCATTTGGCTAAACAACTCCATAGCCCACATCCCTCAGGCATGTTGTGCAAACCCGCAAACAGCGACATTCCAGGTGACAATGTTCTTCTCCCTGAGTCTTTTGAACACTACAACAGCATCATCAAAGCCTCCACACTTATTATACCTGGCTATAAGAGAATTGCCAACAAAAACATCACTTTCCAATTTCGGCTTTACAACTGACGCATGGACCTCCTTACCTCGATCTAGAGACTCTAAAACTACAGCAAGAGTTTAAAGAACTTAGAGAAGAAGATTGATTAGGAAGAACACTTGTTCTCATCATGTCACTGAACACCTTCAGGCCATCTTCATGCCTACCATTCGAGCCATAACCAGTTAGAAGAGCCGTGCATATGACCACATTCCTATAAACTGCTTCATTGAAGACTTGGGTTGCTTTCTCAATGCGCTTGCAGTTAGCATAGAACGTGATGAGAGAAGCACATACAAATCGACTAAGGCAGAATCCTGACTTGAAAACATGACCATGAATCTGCACACCAAGAGGAAAAGATGATGCATTTGCACAGGCACTCAATGCACATGTCAAGTTACTCGAATTGGGAACAACACCAGACTCGAACATTCTCTCAAAAAGAATTAAAGCCTCTTCACTCTTACCATTTTGGTCAAGCCCGCCAGTCCTTGGAGTCCATGGAATCACATTTCGAGAAGGCATTTGCTCAAACAATTTCACAGCATCATCAACCCTCGCATTCTCACAATACCCATGAAGCATCGCATTCCATGCAGCAAGATCCCTTATGGGCATCTGTTTTTTAAAATATCTCTCTACCTGCTCAACTTGTCCAAATCGAAAGAACCCATCTATCATTGTCGTCCACGAAACAACACTTGGTTCGGGCATTTCATCAAAAAGCTCTTCCGCCATCATCAAGTCCCCGCAGTCTAAGCAGCCTTTGATCATTGTGTTCCAGCAAATTGCATCTCTCACGGGCATTTCGTCGAACAGTTTCAGGGCATCGTCAAGGCAGCCAGTTCTCTGGCAACCCATGATCATCTTTGTGAACGAACGAACATCTAGGTATTGAAATATGTCCAGAACCTCCCGAGTTTCATCTGGCTTTTCGTTCTTAAGGTGTCCAGAGACCGCGGGACTGTCACTAGTTGCATGACTCGCACGTTTAAAGAAGCGCTTGGAGAGTTGGGTGTGGGTTTCGCATATGAGATTTGGGACATTATCTCGTGAGCTTTTACAATTACTGGATGATCAAGGCTGATATAACGTAGGCACTTGTTTCAGTAAATTGGAAAATTTTGCTTGCTTGCTTGCTTGTATTATTTCACTAAAATTTCTATAAATTGTAATGTGGATTAAACCTTGTGTTACTACTCCTTGTTTCTCTCGTAGTTTGAATGGTGGCTTGGAGGGCTGTCATGACTTCCGGAACGGTCGGGAGACGGATTTAGAGGTAACGTCCAGTTAAGGGACCAACGGTTCTCAATCATCACGAGTTCTCCCAAACCTTTACATTGCGCGATGTCGGGAAATTCATTTCAACTAATTAGACCTACGAAAGTCCTATACGAGAGAGTCACCAATAGCTTATTGTGGTCAATTAGAAACCTTTCGGTACCTAAGTTAGGGACTTGATTAATCTTCAATGTACTCCATATATTCCAAAGCTTCTCCATATTGAAATTGAATTCTAATAAAATACAATTGTTTTTGGTTGGATATGAGGATCAATACTGTGCTAAATTGCTTCAATTGAGTGGTTCTAAATGGGGAAATTTGTCTGTCAAGGTTTAGGATCTTTCTCTTACCCCTGGTAGACTAAGTGACAAACGATGTAGGTCCTTGATCACGAAGATTCCAAATGGAACGACGGCATGGACTGTAAAACACTTCATTTATGCAGGTAGACCCCAATTGATCAAGTTTGTCGTTATTTACAGCTTGATAAACTATAATTGTCAAAATTGTTATGCCAAGAAAGTTGATATGAAATGCTCAGCATTGTGTAAAGGAAGGTCAGAAAATACTCATGGGGCCAAGGTTGATTGGAAGAGGTTTGTTTGCCTAGGATTGGAGCCTTGTTAATTTCTTTGTATGTGATGTATACAATAAAGAGGATATGGTATTAGCGGCGCACAGAACAGCCCGGCACCCTTGGGCCTGTGTCTGGGCACTGGCCCATTAGGTCGCGGACCGTTAGGGATCACACATGATATAGACCAGAATTGTGACGCCCCGTCCTCGGGGTCATTAACGTGACGTCCCGTTCATTATTATCTTTCTTTAAATACAAGCGGAAGCATATCTCGGGACAATCACATTTAAAAACAACAACGGGATTAAGACAAACAGCATCATGAGCAAACCTTATATTTATAGGACACGCAAACATATTTTACAAGCCAACTTAGCCGATTTTAGCCATTTATACAACAAATGTTATGGCTTGGGTGTCCTAAGCCCACTACTTCGGGTTCACAGCTCCGAGCTTTCCCCGAACTCCAACATGGCTCAAACTCCCCCTGTCGCCGACGTCCGTTCGACCATCCTATGGACCTGAGAGGGAAAAATGGGGGATGAGTCGGGGAGACTCAGCAAGTGAAAACACTAATATCAAGCGAGGATATATCAATCGCCGTTAACATAAGTCGGCCCTTACCGCACCCGCATCGATGGCAGATCAATAGCAAAGTTCAAACAAGAGAACATCACGCATGGCCACATCGTGCACACTTTACAAACCAAGACTCGGTTCTTTCTCAAAACAACATCAAACATCAAACATGGTCAAATCGACATCAAACATGAAACATGGTCAAATCGAAAAATGAACCAACTACGACCAACCAAACAACCGAGAAACGGTCCAAGCAAACCACGTCACAACGCATCTCAACATCCTTTCCCGATATTAGGGAATTCACTTACTCAACAATTAAACTAGAACTAGAGAAAACAAGCCGTGTGAAGGACACGTGAGTCTCGGCAATTCTCGGGCGATTCTTGGTGGTTCTCGGGCTTAAACACGAACACTCGGGCCTTGCATAAGGCTTCCTCACTCGATCAAACCACAAGAGATAGACACGGGCTAGTCGGTAAGCTTTTTCTCTCTTTCTTTCTTTCTTTTTCTCTCTTTCTCGGTCATGAATACAAAGCAAGAAATAAGAAAGAAGGTTGGCCGGAGCTCTCGGGGCATGGAAATGGCGTGAGGGAGAGGAAGGGGGGGGGCTTCACGTGAGCTTCTCCCTCTCTCTCTTGGCCGAATGGCCTTCTTTCTATTTATAGAGAGACAAAACTTGGGGCCAAAGCTTGGATGAGGTAAGCGCACGTGTCATCGTGGAGAATGAGGTAAGCGGACGTGTCATCCAAGGATGAGGTCATGGCTTAGGTCATTTGGGACATGAGGTCATTGCTTACCTCACATGGCCATTAAGGCATGCCATCATGATAGGGACTCCAAAGTCAAGATCATTTAATTAGGCTTCTTGAACAAGCCTAATTCATTTCCAACTTGAGCTTCAAGTTTTGATTTCTCTAGAATCCTCCAATTCCAAGCTTGCTTTTCTCTCTCGGTTTCCCCCTGGACCGACCTCCAATAAAAGTGTAACATATCTCATTGGAAAGATCATAATGTGTAATTTAAATCACCAGAAGACATCTAGTCGAAATTCCAATGTCCTCATATAGAAAATGCTAAATCTTTGAAATTTGACAAAACCGGACAGCTTTGAACTGTTCACGAAATAGGCCTTGAAAATATAGTAAATGGACTTCAAAAATTCTCAAAATTGAATATGTCATAAACAAGACCTTACTAAACATTTTTCATGAAGAACACAAAATCTGAATCTCTCTTTAAACATCATTTTTAGTAGCTCAAGGACAGACTAAAAACAGTTCGCTAGAACAGAATTCTTGTTTCTCAAAGTAAGCTCTGTCCATAATCCAAATCATCTTGGAAAATTCCCAAATTTATACACGTTATAGAAAAGGAAGTTCTCAACAACTTTCATGAAGGAAACTTTTCCAAAATCTTCCCAGAAAAGCTTGTCGAAAATAAAGACGGTGTGAACATCACCGAAGTACCCATTCTGGGCAGTTTCACATGGTCCAAAAATCAGGCCATCGTACCACTCATATCAACTCCAAAAATTCTGAAATTAAAGTATGTAAAACATCAAGATGTTTGGAACAACTTTAAAGAAGGAAGTATTCTGAAATTCAGATCACAAAAGTCTCCCAAAACATAACAAAACAAAGAGGTACAAAGGATCCGAAACTGGGTTTTCCAAAACAAGAGAAAACAATTTAGTTCCGATTGGAAAACCACCAAACTTAAACCATAGCCATTTCCCAGGAACTGAAATTGAGGATATTTCAATTTACCTGCGGCTTCCCAGGCCCAAAATCGGGATGTGACAATTCTCCCCCTCTAATAAAATTTCGTCCTCGAAATTTAAACGCGTACCTGGTTCCTCGAATAATGCAGGTATCAACTTTCCTCAATTCCTCACTCTCCTAGGTGGCTTCTTTTATGCCCCGATGACACTATAGGACCTTAACTAAGAAAATGGCCTTACCTCTCAACACTTGCTCCTTACAATCCACGATCCGCACCTGCTCCTCAGCATAGGACACTCTGCTATCCACTTCGACATCGTCGAAAAAAATTCAGCACGCGTGCCGGATCGGGCTCACACTTTCACAATATTAATACATGGAACACAACATGTACCTGAGCAAGTTTCGGTGGCGGCGCCAACCGATAGGCCAAATCCCTTTTCCTTCTCGAATTTCAAAAGATCCTACGTACCTGGAACTTATCTTACCTTAGTACCTTTACAGCATCCACTGTAATGTGGACTAGCTCTGGACCAACGACCTTTCCTTCCCCGACCTCGATCCAACATACTAGAGTGCAGCAAACTTGACCACACTTCCGCTGCGCTACTCTGATAAAATCTTCCTCAAACACAATTTACTTACTTTATAACAATCACGAAGATCGCACTTATCATTTCAAATAACAGTTCCCGTCTTACTTTCAATTCAGTACCTAGTTCGGTTTATTCATTTTCTTACCCGCCATCCTAGAAGCCTGCCAGGAACCGCACCTTGTTCAGGTCTTTATCCCCAGCAATCACTCTTGCTAGAAGCCGCACCTTGATCAGGCCTCATGCCCCGGCGTCCACTTCCTAGCCAAGAGCCGCTCCTTGATCAAGTTCTGCCCAGGCGATCACTCCTCGCCCTCATCGGATCGGGTTATGTCAAAATTCAACAGCCTTCTCTTGGCTCAACACCGAAGTGCAACTTACTAGAGGGGAACCTGCTTGGACTTCTCTTTCGAGGTCGCGGCGTCCTGATGGGACTTTCCTTTTTCCTCAGCAGTTGCAGCCTAGTCCTGAGCACTTATTTTGCTATCAATAGTCTAACAAGACTTTCTATAACACAAGAATAGGTCAGTGATCACAAACAAACAGGAGCACTTAACCTATTCAACCACAATCAATCATTCACATGCATAGGGGTGTTCCCTAGCTAACTACCCCAACTTCAGCGCACCTTATCACGCCAGGTCTTTATTCCCGCTTTGATTTCAGAATCGTTTTCCCAATTCGGTGCACAGTTCGATCATTCTTGCCTTTAGCCATCCTAGAAGCCTGTCAGGAGCCGCTCAATGATTAGGCCCTTCACCCCGGCGCCACTTCTACCCAGAGGCCGCTCAATGATCAGGCCTCATACCCCGGCGCCACCTCTGTCAGAAGCCGCTCAATGATCAGGTCGTTTGGCCCCGGCGCCACTCCCCGCCCTCGTCGGACTTGTCACATCCCGATTTTGGGCCTGGGAAGCCGCAGGTAAATTGAAATATCCTCAATTTCAGTTCCTGGGAAATGGCTATGGTTTAAGTTTGGTGGTTTTCCAATCGGAACTAAATTGTTTTCTCTTGTTTCGGAAAACCCAGTTTCGGATCCTTTGTACCTCTTTGTTCTGTTATTTTTGGGGAGGCTTTTGTGATCCGAATTTTAGAATACTTCCCTCTTAAAAGTTGTTCCAAACATCTTGAAGTTTTTCATACTTTAATTTCAGAATTTTTGGAGTTGATATGAGTGTTACGATGGCCTGATTTTTGGACCGTGTGAAACTGCCCAGAATGGGTATTTCGGTGATGTTCACACCGTCTTTATTTTCTACAAGCTT